TGATATTGGATAGCTTTCTAGTATGTTCTACCTGGTCATGAGACTGGCTTATAACCTCCCAGTTCTGATGCTGGCTGTGACACTCACTGCTGGTGGACTTTGGCTAAGTGACTTTACATCTCTGAGCCTCCACCACTGAGCTGCACAGCAGGAGAAATCATGATCTTCGCCTCATGGCGTTTATTTGGAGAACTGAATGACAGGAGAAGGGAAGGACTTAGCACAATGCCCCGCACATAATAAGCACTCAATAAAAGCCTCTGAGGAGGAGAGAAGATCTGGGAATCAGGCTCCCTTGGACACGAACCCTAGCTTGGCTCTGTCGCTTGAGGCTGTGTGACATCAGCCAAGTCAATTAACTCTCTGAACCTCATTTCCTCCTGGGACAGAACTGAAGATCAGGCCACCTCCCCCACGAGGCTGTTGTGAGGATTAAATGACCAGACATGTTTTGGTGCCCAGTGCAGCCCACATGGGAATTGCCCTTCCTCCCCCTTGACTCTGAGTGGCACAGGTGCTGCCAACCCTGGGCTGGAGCGCATCCCACTGTCCCGGATGCTTCACTCGGCTTCTGTGCCTGGGCTCTGTTGCGGCTGGAGAGAGTCAATAGGGCCCTGTGAGCAGCCCTTGCCTCCCGGCACTCGTTTCTCTCAAACCCTTCCTCTTCCCACGTGGGTTCAGCTCTATTGAGTTCTATTTTCTCTCCCTTTCTCCTCTTCTCCCGCCCTCACCTCAGAGGCTGAGCTCTCCCTCCTCTTCCCAGGCCTTCAGCGTTTACTCCATGCTCACCTCAGCTCTAGTACCTTCTCTCCTCAGTTGCTGGCACTACTCAGCCAAAAAAGCTCACTCAAGTATCTAAATTTTTCCCAGGTCTGACCTTGACCCAGATACTGCCTTATTGAAGGCACTCACTCATCCGTTCATCCACTGAAGAATCATTTGAGCCAGGTGTGGCGACAGGTGCCTGTCATCCTAATACTCTGGAAGGTCGAGGTAGGAAGAAGAGTACAAATCTGAGCCCAGCTCAGGCAGTTTAGCAGTTTAGTGAGCCCCTGTCTCAGGTTGGGATATAGCTCAGCGGCTTAAGTGGCTGCCTGGCAAGCGCAAGATTCCGAGTTCTATCTCGGGTACTGCAGAACCCCGTCTCAGAAGATAAGAGAGGGCAGAAGATGCAGCTCAGTGCAAAGGCTTTGGGCTCTCTCTCCAGGATGGGGAAGGGACAGGGGAGGTAGGTACAGAGATGAAAATACGGACTCTGCACTCAAAGCTTTCAAAGTCCAGAGGGCAGCTGGACTCAAAGATAATGGGCAGTGACACATGAGTCCCAGAGACTGGCTGGGGTGCAGTGGGGGAGGGGGACCTCAGGGGAGTTTTAGCTCCACCGTTGCCCCTGGTTAGTACAGATGGACGGTTGGTAGTGTTGTTCACTGAGACACAAGACAAGGCAGGAAGATGTAAGTTGGAGCTGAGCCTGGGCAATCCAGCAATTTAGTGAGAGCCTATCTCAAAATAAAACTTTTTAAATGGTGGCAGTTTCACCATTTCACTGAGGTAGGAGCTCGGCATGGGGGCGCACACCTGTAATCCCAGGAATATAGACAGCTAAATTAGGCAGATATATTACAGGCATTTAGACAGGGCTGGGCCCCCCAGAGAGACAGTGCAGAAGACAAGAAGGCCTCAAAACTCTGGCTGGAGGCACCAGTGAAGAAGACTAAGTCACAATGGCCAGATTTACATGCTTCCCTGGGGGAATAAATGGAAGTTTGAGATTATTGGTACCACCCTTTGAGACTTCCTCTATAAACAAGCCATTATCTTATTAGGGTTTGACCACCCTCTTCCACCCACTAAAATGAAGTCTAAATACAAGACAGACTACAGATTATCAGTCAAAGTTAATGACGTCATCTGTGCACACTTCCCAAGTGATCTGCTTCCCTATTAGATCAACATTACCTAAACATCTATACTTGTAATTTTTTTTTTTTTTCGGAACCAAGGATTGAACTCAGGCTCTTGCGCTTGCCAGGGAAGTGCTTATTCCATTGAGCCATCTTCCCGGCCCACTATACTTGTAATTTTATTGGTTGGCCATAGTTTTTTTGTTTGTTTGTTTGTGGTGGTACCGAGGATTGAACTCAGGACATTGTGCTTGCCAGATAAGCGCTTATCCTACTGACCTACCTCCCCAGCCTCCCCAGCCCTGGTTGGTCATAGTTTTTTTTTTTTTTTTTTTTTTTTTTTTTTTTTTTGAACCGGGGATTGAACTCAAATACTTGCATTTGC